CAACCCAAACACATATATATGGCATCTTAAAGTTTATTTTCCAATTATTAGCGGCTTAGGTAGCTTAACGAAAGAAGTCAGAAGAGACCCTATTACAGCACATGACAAACATGTAGCCAGCAAATGACCTTACTCGTAACGCTTGTAAGCTAAACCTTTAAAAGATGCACTTGCTTCAGCTGCTTCAACGAATTTAACCTGGAGTATCATGAATGAAATAATTATAAACAGAATAATTACCGTCAGGAATGTGAATATATATATAAGTTCAATAATCACTACAAGCAATATCCAATGCACAATTGGAAACATATAACTGATGCATAAAAAAATCAAATTTTACTAGACACAAGGACATCCGCAGCTTAATTAAATAAGGCAAGAGATGCCAGTAGATTAGCAAGTTTCCTGATGCAACACTGAAAGTGTTAAAAGTCTATTCAAGACGAAAGACTACGATTAAGTAGAATTGGAATTTGATGTTATCTTCTATTTTAATTTATCAAGATGGGAAATTGATGTCATCTTTTATTTTAGTTTATCTAGATAGGAAAAAATTTTGTTTAGTTGCAAAGTCTCTCACTATGTGAAGGGACTTAGGGAATTATTTTCAACACACTTGAATTATATGAATAAAACAATTCTTCTTGCCCTCAATTCTTCTCTTTGATCCCCTCTTCTCTTTATCTTATTGTTCTTTATCAAGTTTGTGCATTTCCTGCATCAATTTGGCATCAACTTCCCATGTATCATATTCAAGTTATTTGATATGTCATCCTCTCTTCATCACATAATATGTGATTAAGCTCAGCTAGTTCCAGCCAATTACATCTCCAAGAGCAAGCTAGCCATCAGGAATTATTTCGCCCTTGTTTGGGCTCCATTTTAAAGAGGTTTTGGGGAAATGTATTTTGGATTAGTAATTTTTTTGGAGAATATGCTGTTAAAAATGAGTTTTGGAAAAATGTATTTTTGGTTTATTGGAGCCCAAACAAGGGCTTCATGACAGGTGACAAGTGTTATAAGTTCTAAGTCAGCAAATGATCATTGAATGTTTTGCCAGAAGGATCTTTATCACTCTATTTTAAATCCAATAATTCCTCAGTAGCGAAGATTACAAGCAAACAGGATGAACTGTGGGAGGACAGTAAGAAGTTATAGTGACGATTATTCAGTAAGCATATCTAGTGACTTCCCCAATGACACGAAATGCACGCCGTGGTGGAAAAATATGGGTCCTTATATTTTCAGACAAACCAGTTACAGTAAGACACGCTGAAACACGTATGGGTTCGGGAAAGGGATCCCCTGAATATTGGGTAGTTGTTAAACCAGGTCGAATACTATACGAAATGGGTGGAGTAACCGAAAATATAGCTAGAAGGGCTATTACAATAGTAGCATCCAAAATGCCTATACGAACTCAATTCATTATTTCAGGATAAAAATGTAGAACCAACAGAAATGAATCTTGGGGATGAAAGTTTCTTTTTTTGGACAAAAAAATATTCCTTTTTTTCTTCATCCTTTGCATTGGAAGAATAGACTAAAAAATTGATATGATTCAACCTCAGACCCATTTAAATGTAGCAGATAACAGCGGGGCTCGAGAATTGATGCGTATTTGAATCATAGGAGCTAGCAATTGTCGATATGCTCATATTGGTGACGTTATTGTTGCTGTGATCAAAGAAGCACTACCAAATATAACCCTCGTGTTAGCCAAGATTGGGATCACTAGTCGCACAGCTGTCCCTCTAACTGCACGTTGCACATGATAATAAATTTATGAAAATAAACACCTATTAAGATGAAGGTGCTAATCAAAATTGACCTAGTACAGAAGATACTTTTTATAACAGAATTAGAAGAAAGCACCTTCCTATCGAACTTTTCTGGATGAACATACAGTCTGAAGAGCAGCCACTGCAGTTCATCTCTAGTCCATATCGACTATCCTAAAGACAGGTCTCTCTCTGAGGCAGAGAAACGGGATAATATTAAGGAGAGAAGCTTAATCTTAAAAATATGATATTAATATTTATGAGGTACTAAGGGTAATTGTTTGTCACCTTTAAAACATTACATATTACATAAATACACACTATTCAAGGAACAGAAAGTAATATGGTTATAAAATTGCGAGCTTGACTAAAGCATATGTCCGAAAACCAAATACTGAATTATATAGAGAGACCAGAAAAGGAGGAAAAGAAAATAGATACCAAAGCCAAAATTTTTGTGGGTGGTAGTATAACTTTATCCAATCTGCCATATTCCCTAACATATCAGCCAGTTCACTTTCAGATGAACCATAGGGCAAGTTCTTCACCAAGATAACATGGTTGCTTCTCTTCAAACCACCAGTTTCCCAGAGGCGAACTCCTCTAATGAGGAAACATTAATACCAGCCTTTGAAAGAGCTTTTTTTGTATCGGCAATCACTCGAGTTTCTCCCAATGCAATGCGCACAGCAAGATCATCAGCTTCTCTATCTGGTAATTCACTTTTACTAGCACCAAATTTTCAAGCAATGTTTTCAACGACCTACAGTGTGAAGTAGCAGACTAGATCATCAAGTTGAAGTCAAGTCAGTAATGTCAAGAAATTAATGCACAAATCCATGCAGAATAATCATTAATATAGGAAAGGGGGATATTTTATTCATCTAAGGGGAAGAAAGTTCACATATTAGTTCAAAGCTGCTACTGGCATTTTCTGTTTACTCCTTCAGTAAAGGAGGCTGTTATGGTCTAATTGATCAAAGAAATTTCAGAACCATCTAGAAAGAGTCAACTCCAAGTCCTATCTCTTAAGTTAAATAACACGAAAGCCGAAAAACAAACTTGGGAGACAGAAGAATATGATTGAATATCATTCATCAAGTACATTCCATTACAATGAAGATTGTATTTACCCAACTTGGGCCAGTCGGCAAACACAATCAAAACTCCAACCAATAGTATTAATTTACTTAGTTATGATTGATGAACCAGCTAATTATTATTGACATCCTTTGTAGGAATAGCACACAACCCAAGTATTCCAAGTATAAATCAATATAAATCTCTTTCCGCAGGTCGAGGAGCAATGACATGAAATGCACGCCGTGGTGGAAAAATATGAGTCCTCTCCCCCCATAAAGCATTTTTTTCTTTTTTACCGATGCACAAAGAAAATATTTTGTTGCGAATGCTTAGGTCAAGTTGGTAATTTTTCTTATATCTCCCCCTCTTGGAGCCCAAGTATCATATATGCCCCATTGGGAGCGTAGATAATTGTAACCATAAACATATAAAATGACAGTAATGAAATGCCATAGTGATTATGAGCCCTAATTCTTAACTGGATGGGACACCAAAGGCCTTTACCCTTCCATCCCTTGAATTGGTAGAGAGGGAGGGCAGAGCTTTTGGTTTTTCATGCTGTCCCGAGCCTCTAGTGAGTTATAGACAGAGTTCAAAAAGATCAAATTTTTGATGATTAATCCAACTTTTCACTTTCTAGGTGACTTATGGATAGAAATCACAAGAATTTTTATAGTAAAATAAGAAATTAAAAGATTTCGTTGAAATTGTTCGTTTGGAAATTTTTCGTTCCAGCAATTAGCTTTAGGCTCCATCCATTGAAGCTCTCATAAGCTAATTACTATCCACTACTATGGCAGTTGATCTAATTTTCAGCCAATGTTTTCATGTGACTACATTTGAAAATACAATATTCTTAAAAAAAAAAAAACAAAATGGTTGTAGAGCATTGCAGCATATTAATGAACAAAATCAAGGCTGATGAAGATACACTGTACGAGTAACCATGCCAAACCACTAATAGCAGAGGACACAAATGAAATAATTACCTGAAAGTTTGATTTCATCTCAAAATTCATTTCAAGTCTTTAAACTATGGGACACTCAAAAATTATACTAAAGATCTAAACCTAAAAACAGATTTTTCCTTCCATAGGAATCCTAGATGAGAAGGAAAACACCTGATGTAAATAATAAATACATTTTATATAGAAAGATTGACTCTAAACTTACTGTGTCGGGTCTCATGAATAAACTATACCATCCTCGTGTATTTCCACTGGCTTCAGAAGCCTTCCTTTCCTCATTCCTCCTGTTTGTCTTTGACGATTGTTGGGTAAAATTATTGGTCCTGCAGATGAGAAGCAGCATAAGATGAACTTCTTATTAATTAGGTAACCCCAAAATTAACAAAAGAAAATGCATATAAAACATTAGTTGCTTTTTATCTTTTTATAGATATGATATGAAATGTGGGCTAAGGAATAAGAGAGGCAACAGAGAAAAGAAGGCTTAAGAAGAAGGAAGAGGAGACAAGCTAACAGTCATAACCTGCAATTCAAAAATGAGGAAACGGTGTCACACAGAGACCTTAATTTTAATAGGCAAAACATGCTTTCATTTTCTTTTCTTTTCCGTTATAACAGTAGGAAGGGAGAGGGAGGGCAATGTGTGTGAAGTAGATCACCTGATTCTCATTCCTCTCTAGCTGATTCTCTTTCTTCTCTCTTCTCCATTCTAGTTTCATTGTAATTTCCTTCAGAACATCAATTAAATATAGTTGGCTAACTAATTTCATTTACAATTCTGTGTTAATTCTTACTGGACGATTGAAGTAGGTTGGGATTTGGAATCCAACCATAACAACCGGTATCAGAGCAGCAACGTGAGTTAGGTGATAAGTGTGTTTTTGCACACTTATTTAGGTTATAAACATGACTGAAAAATGAGCAAAACGATTGAATTGTGACTTAATCTCATTACATTTGTGAATTGTAGGGAACAACGATGAATATGGTGAAATTTAGGAGAAAAGACGCGAAAAAGGACTAAAATGATGCAAAGTGAAAGTTCAGGGACCAAAGTGCAATCATTCAAAAGTTGACCCGATGAACAAATCGAGAAATTGATTAAGCCAATTGCCAATTGATGATATCATGGGATGATGGAATGGAAAGAATGAAGAAAAGATGCCAAGAAGTGAAAGATTCAAGCAGAAGGACCAAAATGAACATATTTCATAGTTGGTAGCACTATGCGACCCCTCTATGCGGTTGCATAGAGGCATACCGCAAGTAAAATGTCACAAAAAAATTTACTCTATGCGGTCGCATAGAGTATTTCTAGGGCGAAACTGCTGTTTCCTTTTTCCGCTGAAACTCTTTTGGAAACAATATTTTTAGAGTCCTATAAAAATAAAAACTGGACTAGAAAGATGGGGACGCCGTTTTTACAAGTTTTTGAGAGATTATGAAAGAGAAACGAGGAGAGAACAAGAAGATAACATCACGCCAAGTGAAGATTCGATTGAAGATTGATTCGAGTGATGACGTTTCTTCAACTATTTTTATGTTTTCTTCTTTTTAGCATGTTAGGCTAAATTTATCATTGTTAGGAGATCGATGAACCTTGTAATACTACGTTTGATTGTTGATTTGGATTTTTGACGTATTTAAATGCAAGTTTCGGATTTGATTGATTTATTACGTTTTTATTTTCATATGATTATTGTGCACGTAATTATATAATAGTGGTGGCCTATTTTATGCATTCGAAAGAAGGAAAATAGGTTCGATATAGTATAAATTATCATAGGGTCCGATAGGGGATAGAAATATACCTCTATGCCTTGTGTGAATCATTGGATATTCATGAATTTATAATGCATTTCGGTATGTTAGTATTCATCATAGAAATATAGTCGAATCATATATTGGGATAGGTTTGACATTGCTCGAGAGAGATTGCTAAATTAAAATAGGAATATTGATTCATCTTTTGTGGGACTGTATGTCAAATTTGTATAATTAAAAATTCAACGGGTATTGCTTGAGGATTTGTGATCCTAGTGCGTTAGTATATTCATTAATTCCATAAACTTGAGTTAAATTGCATCCAAGTTATTTTGCATTTAGTATAATTTTTCATTCATACTTGCATCAAAGTTTACATCTTTTTAGTTAAAGTACAAAACATCAATTTGATTTTCATGTTTCGGTTAAGGTCATAATAGGTTAACTTGAACTAATTCAATCCTTGTGGGATCGATACTTGGACTTATAGTCCATTTTGCTACTTGTTAACGAACCGTACACTGGTGGTGAATTTTAAATCGGAACAAATAATTTCGTGAACAAGTTTTTGACGCCGTTGCCGGGGATTGAAATTTAGTTTTAATTTTATCTTTGTGACACTAATTCGAACTTATCTAGATTAGTATTAGTTAGCTTACTAGGTTTAGTTTATTATTGACTTCAATTTAATTTTGTGTTAATTTTGCTATTTCAGGGCTTGTATGCAAGGAGCACCTGATCGAAACTTGGTTCCTGTAGATCCAGAGATCGAACGCATATTTCGTCATAGGCAAAGAGAAGCAAGAGCGGCACAACAAATGACTAACGAGTAAAATCGATCGGCAATTCCACTCAATGAAGGCATGACAGTTGAAGATGACGGGAATACAGTACTTAAGGACTTCATGGCACCGTTGGTGGTCCAAAGTCAATCTAGCATTGTGTATCCTCCATTTGGGCAATTGAACTTCCAGTTGAAAACAAATGTGATTCAACTATTTCAGAATGGGCATCAATACCACGGGATGGCTAGTGAAAATCTGCATACACACATATCCCGATTTCTGAATATGTGCCAACACTTTAGGTACCAGGGTATCTTGGACGATGCTATAAGACTGCGGTTATTTCCACACACCCTGTGGGATAAAGCACTTGAATGGCCGGATTCGCTTCCTGTCGCAAGTATCACCACTTGGAACGAGCTAGCCCACAAATTATGCACCAAGTTCTTCTCGCCAGCTAAGATAGCCAAAATGCAGCATGATATCTCTATATTCAACTAATGTGAGTCCGAATCATTTGAAGAGACATGGAATCGTTTCAAAAATATGTTAAGGAAGTGTCCTCAACATGACTTTGACAAGAAGACACAGATCCGATTTTTCTACCCTGGACTACTTCCATCCTTCAAGAGTATGGTGGATTCATCATTTGACGGGTTTATCTCCACAAGAACAATTGACGGAGCATGGGAGCTATTTGAGAGAATGGCTACAACTTCAGCCATGTGGTCTATAGATCGAGTGATTCAAAAGAGAACGTCGAGGGTTTATGAAGTAGATACTTACTCAGCATTGTCTGCAAAGATAGACTCTTTGTTCCATAAGGTTGAGAGCATTTCACAGACCGCCACTGCTGAACAATTCAAGAAGACAAGCTGTGAAGAATGTGGAGCAGACCACAACACTGTTAATTGTCCAATTCTCGCACAGGGGGTCGAACATGCAGATTTTGTGCAATGGGGTCAACGCCAACAGAACAACCCACATTCGAAAACCTTCAATCAGGGTTGGATAAAACACCCAAACTTCTCGTGGAGTAATCAGAATCAAAACAGACCACAATGTTAATATCAGCGGCAGGATAAAATGCCACCATTGGAAGAGATGTTCAAGAAGTTCATGGCAACAACCAATCAGTCTATGGAAGCCAACAACCGATTTATGCGAAAGACAGATGCAACTCTTCAAGACCAAAGTGCAGCAATAAAAAATTTGGAGACACAAATGGGACAGATGTCAATCTCCATGACGGGTAGAGCAGCAGGAAACTTACCCAGCAACACTGAAATCAACCCTAAGGAGCACGCAAAGGCTATAACAACCAGAAGTGGAGTACAACTACCGGAGATACATGTAAAAAGATTGGTAGCTAGCAAGGAATCAGTACCAACCTCAGATGACGAGATTGTGGAACAGACTGAACAAACAACAGGGGATGTGGTCAAGAAGAATTCCAATACATCACGGGGTACAGCTACCAATCCTATCAACCCTCATGAGCCTCCTATTCCATTCCCGCAGAGGTTGAAAAAGCACAAATTGGATCAGCAATATAGTAAGTTTCTTGAAGTCTTCAAGAAATTACACATCAACATTCCATTTGCTGAGACACTTGTTCAGATGCCGAGTTATGCAAAATTCCTAAAGGATATCCTCTCCAACAAGCGAAAGATAGAAGAAAATGAAACAGTGATGCTAACTGAGAAATGCAGTGCCAGAATCCAGAAAAAGCTGCCTCCAAAACTAAAGGATCCAGGGAGTTTTACTGTACCTTGCACTATTGGGAATTGTCATTTTGATAAAGCATTGTGTGATTTAGGTACAAGTATTAATTTAACGCCTCTCTTTGTTTTCAAGAAACTCAGTTTGGGAGAAGCTAAAGCCACAATAGTCATCTTGTAGTTAGCAGATCGATCCCTTACACATCCAAGAGGGATCATTGAAGACGTGTTGGTAAAAGTGGAGAAGTTCATATTTCCAGTCGATTTTCTCATCTTAAACATGGAGGAGGACAAGGATGTCCCACTCATATTGGGGTGACCTTTCTTAACTACTGGAAGAACGATTGTCGATGTTCAAAAGGGGTAGCTTATATTGAGGCTTGGCGAAGAGCAAATCTCTTTCAACGTGTTCAAGGCAATGAAATTCCCTACTGAGTCAGACAGCTGTTTCTAGATTGATGTAATTGACAGAATAATTCAAGATACATTTCGGCTACATCATCCTTCCGATGCATACGAGGCATGCATTGCACATTCTCAATCCACTCACACTGATTCAAGTGAGATTGAAACATGTGCACAATTTTTGGAAACTAATCCACCATACATGCACAAACATCACTTCGAAGAGCTGGGAATTAGGACTACAAAGTCAGTGCCATTTATTCAGTAACCTCCCAAGTTGGAACTTAAGCAATTGCCACCACACCTTCGATATGCTTATCTGGGGAAATATTTTACACTTTCGGTTATTATTTCAAATACTGTCAGTGAAGAAGAGGAAGAGAAACTACTTCGGGTGCTAAGGGAGAATAAAATAGCCATTGGATGGTCAATTTTAGATATCAAGGGGATCAGTCCGTCACTATGCATGTACAAAATACTCATGGAGGAAAAATTCAAGCCAAGCATTGATGGTCAGTGGAGATTAAATCCACACATGAAGGAAGTGGTTAGGGCTGAGGTATTGAAGTTGCTCAACACAGGCATCATCTATCCAATATCAGATAGTGCATGGATCAGTGTAGTACAGGTTGTTCCCAAGAAAGGGGGTATCACAGTAATAGAAAACGAGAAAAATAAGTTGATTCCTATACGAACAGTGACTGGATGGAGAGTTTGCATCGATTACCGCAAACGAAACGCTGCTACTCGAAAGGACACTTTCCACTACATTGATCAGATGTTGGAGAGACTAGCAGGGCACTCGCATTACTATTTTCTGGATGGGTACTCCGGGTATAATCAGATTCCAGTAGCACTTGATGATTAGGAGAAGACAACTTTCACTGCCCTACGATACCTTTGCATACCGTAGGATGCCTTTTGGTTTATGCAACGCTCCTACCACTTTTCAGCACTACATGATGGCTATTTTTTCAAATATGATTGAGAAATTCATCAAGGTATTCATGGATGACTTCTCAGTGTTTGGGTCTTCGTTTGATGAGTGTTTGGAGCATCTGAGTCTTGTGCTACAGCGGTGTACAGAAACTAACTTGGTATTGAATTGGGAGAAATCCACTTTATGGTATAGGAAGGCATCGTGTTAGGACACTGAATCTCAGGGTATTGAGGTGG